ATGGGTTCATTGGCCAGATGGAGACAGGACTCTAATAATGACCAGAGCAGAGATAGGATTTAAAAGCAGCTTTGCCTTTTCTTCCCCTCTACTCCTCCCCCATCACCCCACCCTCCATATCATATCACCAGTGTTCTCCTTTGGAACACTGAGAATGTTTGTTCCATACTCAGCACTTCCCCTCCACCCAGTTCCACCCCCACAATCAGTTTACTTGCTTAGGTTCTTCCTGACTATGTCTCACTGATTAAAGCTCCCCCGAAGAGAGGGCTTGCATTTTAATTATTTTGTATCTTCCTCCTCCAGCCCTTAAGAGTTTGTATTATGCAGATAGTAAGTGCTCAGTAAATATCAAGAAATAAAAGCACTTGGTGAAACACTATGGTGAGGAGTGGGTACACAGAGGAATGAGGCACCTTTTCAAAGGTAAAAGAGATCCATTTCATGAGAGAGATGCGACTTATAGTACAGGACAAAATCACATGAGTGCCACAAAAAAGTCTAAGCAGTGTGCTGAGGGAGCACAAAAGAAGTCTTCCTTCCTTCTGGGATGGTTAGGGGAGATGCGCAGAGGTGGTGGCATCTGACTGAATGTGGAGGAATGAAGACTTCCAGGGGTTGGAAAGAAGGAATGGAGTCAATGCAGAGTTCCAGGAATATTTGGGGAAGCACAGTGGTCCAGTTGAGACGGAGTAAATGGTGATGGGGAGGGTGGGGCTACTGGAATCTAGATTCTAAAAGTGGGCAGGGGCTAGGCTGGGGAGTGCTCAGATGCTCTGCTAAAGAGTTTGGACTTTATCCTCTATCAGTGGTTCTTAACCTTCCTAATGCCGCGACCCTTTAAAACAGTTCCTCATGTTGTGGTGACCCCCAACCATAAAATTTTTTCGCTGCTACTTCATAACTATAATTTTGCTACTGTTAAGAATCATAATGTAAATTTCTGATATGCTATATGTGTTTTCCGATGGTCGCGACCCACAGGTTGAGAACTGCTGCTAGGGATGTGAGCAGGAGAAGTCACTGTAGCTAATTAGATCTCTCTGTCCTAGCCACTGTGGACCATAACTGAAGTGGTGAGAACCTGGAGGCAGGAAGAACTTGATGGTGAGGGCATGTGGAAATGTAAATTAGGAGGTGAACATGGGAGGTGGTCTATGGTGCCGGTGAGAGCAGGGGAGGAAATGAGAGAAGGAAGCTGACCTCTAACGTTTTAACCTGCGTGATGGCAGATGATGGTGACATCGATAGGTCCCAGTAAACAGAGATCATTTAGGCAGCTATGTCATGGTCTGTACACCTTTTGAAGACAGAGAAAAGAGCAGGAGGCTGAGCCCTGGGAGACATGTGCATGTGCCTAATCTGCTTTGAAGAAGCCATTTAGTAGCGCCTGAAGAAGTCATTTCAGGCTGTGACAGGTGAACTACCACAGGCAACACGTAGGGCCATTGGCAGGGGTGCAGGTGTGGTTTCCTTAGAAAGGGGACTTCTGGATTAGATGTGAGGGTTTGCAGTTTCTCACCTTGGAACTGTTTAGCTCAGGGGAAAGAAGCCTAGTTTGAGATGGGGGCTTGAGCTTGAGTCCTCAAGCTGCCCCCCACCAGCTATGTGACCTTGGGCAAATGACTGCCTATCCTGAGGTCTCAGTTTTTCCACTTGTAAGATGAGGGAGTTGGGTCAGTGAAATTCAAAGGTAGGTTTTATTTTACTGTCCTCTGATTTGTGAAGTGCAACATTTAGAATTTCAGAAGACCTGTGATATTAGGCCAAAGCCCACCATCGACTAATGTTCGTCCTCTCCTGCAAAGTCATGCCCATATGTTAGACTGTCCATATATCATTGCAAATGCATGTCTGCCCTGCGGTTAGTTCCATGTGGTTTGTTTGTAAGACATAAATTTAAATTGATCACTTTTTGATGACCATTTTCTAACAATTTTTCACTTTTTTTTTCAGGAAAGACTTTTTTTGGGCGGGGTGGGGGGGATGGTTACCTTTTCATTGGAGTCTCAAAATTAAATTATGGGAGGAAAGCGGCAGTCCCTTACTGTGGTCAGCAGAGTCTGGCCAGCCTACTTCCG